CCACTAGATGTCGCTGAAAACAACAAATCCTACACACTGTGCCTTTAAGCGTTTTTTGTTAAAGAATTGACTCTAGAGTGCATATTTTGTGTCCATGAAAAAACTATTACAGAAAATATTACAATATTAAAGAACTGTTCTTGTTAATTTGATGAAAACATTTTAAATATCCAGTGCACTCACATCAGAATAACTTTTAGATTTGTTGTTAGAATAATCGATTAATCGAAAAAATAATTGTTAGATTAATCGATTAGAAAATAATCGTTTGGTACAGCACTAGTGGATAATGACACTGACAGATTTTCATCTGCAGAGCAAATTATCATAGAGTATCATAGAGCAACGTTTTCTTCCTAATCAGGTCACATTCGGTGGACACAAGGCTCAATAGATGTCTCCTCATTCTGTTAATTATAAAACGCTGTTATCTGAAACTATATAATGTGTTTCATCTCTCTTGTGCCACTTCATCACAGTAAAAGATGAGGGTGATTATTGGGTGCTTCCTGTGTTTTATTAAAGGTGGTCGGTATCACACTTTTTATCTAAACTCCGCACAGCGTGTGCTCTTATTTAAATGACTACATCTTCCCACACAGCTTTGACAGAAGTATTGAGTTGAATTGGTTTCACTGCGATTTGTAATAAGCTACGTAACGATTTTGCCCAAAGTGTGAGATCTGTCTGCTATGATTTCCATAAGTGGTGTCCCTATCCACAGTTTTTATTGCTTACACTGTCTATTTTCAATATGAATGATATCATTCAAGGTTGACTGCATTCAGTGTCACTGATGCAAAAAAGAAAAAATCTTAGGATACAGTACACACGTCTACACTCTGCACAGATCTTTGGGCTAAAAAAAAGCTAAACCATTGGAACACTGACTTTGTCGTGTGGTTTTGTTTTGCTTGATGATCAAAAACAATTCTTTTCATTTTAGTTTTTTTTACAGCACCAGTTTGCAACAGTTTATTTTATGGCACTGTACAGAATGAACGTAGACAAGTTGAGCGAGTCATATTCATTCATTAAGGTCTGGACTTACCAATTACAGTTTGGTGGTCTTCATTCTCCTCTGGTTCTGGGTCAGACTCTGGCTCCAACATGTAAGGCTGGATGGACGAGTCTTCCCTTGTTCAGATCTTTCAATTTAATTGTAAATTAAAAGTTTCTGTGCTGCTATATTGTCGTATCTCTGATATCAAACTAGACAACTGACCTAATATAAGTGCCCGATATGCTTCTTCTGAACCACCGAAATCAGCTCTAATTAGCTGCGTTTCCATTGACCATGAAAATGCGCAAATTAGAATTTCGAAAATAAGTTTGCTCAATGGAAACACGTCAATTTCGGAAAAAAATATCCTTTTTTCGACAAAAGGCTTTTGCTCTATGATGAGGTGGTTTTTCGGCCGTATCGATTTTGGTGTCTTTCGCAAAACTTCAATGGAAACACTTTTTTCGCATCATGGGAGTCACGTGATCAAGAACCGGCTGATTCTACTGGCAAAAAAGACGATGACGAAGAAGACAACAGGAAGTAGTAGTAAAATCATCAACTACAATTTCCCAAAAACGCTGCATGCGTAGCCGCTCCCAAGTATAAGGGGCTTGTCTCTGGAAAGCCTCGACAAAAGACGCCGACGTCTCCTCTGATGATGAGCGCTAGTGTCGTGGTAGCAACATGCTATGTGTTTACATCCATGGCCGCCATGTTTGTAATGACTTATCATGAGAACAAACGTATTCACGCGTGACTTTAATAGCATTTCTTACTTAATGGAAACACTGCAATTATGAAACTGTTTTTCGACATTAACAGAATTTCGACAAAGTTTTGCCTACATTTGCAATGAAAACACAGCTAATGTCGCAGTTGCTTGACATCGATTCTGTAATTTAGCCCTCCTTGTCACAACCCACCAGGAGAACTTCACCCTCCTCGGCAAAATAATTTCTTGTGAGACTGGTCAGATGTTCGTGGGTGTGTTTGCGTTGAAAGTACTCGGATGCTGCATTTTGCTTTGAGTGCTCACTTCCAGTATCTGGCTGTTGTTCCCAGAAGCAGACATTTATAAAGAAAGTCAAACAATCAAAAACTAATGAATGGAAATAAAACAGACATTGCACATGGAGGAGTCTATGGCAAAAACTGGAGCTGCTACTGCTAACCATGCAGTGACGAATACTACATTTAAATGTGGAAAGGAAAGATTTAAAAGCATGTCTACTTTAAGGACACATCTCATGCAGTCAGTTAGCACTCAGAAAATAAGTTGGCGATCACTCTCAAATACTAAGACGCCAAATTTTGTCCCATTTATTAAATCTGAATTTCCGATTTATATAAAAATATTTAAATGCTTTATGACGTAGAAGTTTTGGCAGCTTCCCCATGACGATCCATCCACATCAAGACGGCACTCTGTTATATCAAAAACCACTGTAGGTTCAAGTAGAGTCGAATTAGGACGAAGCATATCGTAATGAGACTGGACGATTGATAAACAGCTTTAGTGAAGTCCCATTCATGCTTTAGCTAGATGGGTTTCTTCCACCTCTTATTTTCCATAATAAAACACAGCTCAGCACTTTGTTGAGATGCATAAAGAAGAGCCACCTGAGTGTCAGCCCAGATACATCCCAACCAGCAGAGACAACATTTCTGCTCCCATATCGTTAAAAAAAATCATTGTTTTACTAATCATGTTTCCATCCAGTTATAGAGTGAATTTTTATCAAACTTTTCAAAATTTGCAAAAAAATTAAATAGATAAAAATTCGAATCTAGACTGTTTCCATCTAGTTTCCCTCGACTATTTGATGCAAATAAACGAGGCTACATAGCGTGTGATTATGTCAGACGTCGGCGAAAAGCTTTGCGGTAGTAAACAGGAAGTGAAACTTGCTAACTAGCAGAGGCTAATCATCTCGGGACAATGGAGCGATTTTTTGTGAATGACTTGCTATTGGAAAAGTTGTAATTATTCTATCTATTCAGCTAGTGCAGGCTATGTTTAACGCTGCCAGGAGACGTAGGGAAATAAATGCAATGTTTTCACGCATTTATAACATCCGGGACGAGGCAGGAAAGCGGAAACAGCTGAACGTCACATGAGGTAAATATGCGGTACGTCAGAATTTATTCGGCAAACGTGTTTCCATCTCCCATTTTGCGCATTAACTACTTTGCGAATCACCCAAAAACCACCTCAAGCGAGCGTAAAAACTTTTTAGCGAATTGAGGATTTTTTTAAAATTTTGCTGTTTCCATCCGACTTTTTTTCGCATTTTTAATGCGACACTTCTAAATGTGCATCAAAAAGCCTTGATGGAAACACGGTTACTGTCCTCAGCTGCGATACATTGGACAGTTTGGCACCACCGGCTCATGAAGCAAGCATTATAGTTTCATGACATTACTTATGTCCAACACATCAGCTTTACTGCCGAGGTAAACGTGAACTACTGTTAACCTGTTCCTCTGCTGTCGGGCGAAGCCCAGTAGCAACATTTTCCTGTTTAGAAAGCTCACAGAGTCACGACAACATGTCAGTCATACCCATCCCAACTGGTGCCACTCATGTAAAGATGCTTGGCATTATTCGAGTATGCTGCGGTTATGACACACTGACACACACACACACACACACACACCTGCCAGTCTTCATCCAATCACAGATTTTGGTCTCGGTTGCATGGCAGGGCTTTGTTGGGAAGTTGACAGCAAAGGTTGCTTCCTAAACCCGGCACGCATCCATCAACAGCTTTTCTGCCGCTTTGGGATGAAGGGAACTGATGATCAGGGGAATTTTTTATTTCCTTCTGCTCTGTTGGTTCACTGGATCACCTTGACAATGTTGCGTTCTGTCACAGAGCTTACTGGGTTGTGGGGGGTTGTGTTTGGAAAAGAGGACAGTGCTTAGGGAGAACTTCACTGGCTTTGGTGGGATTTTGCAAACTAAAATCAAGCGTTGTGTTTGAACTAAGGTAGAGGGATATTGTGTTGAAAGTGAGTTGTGGTAGAGAGAGTGGGAAATGATTCTTTAGTGTGATCACTTCTGTATTCATATGTGTTGTGCCGACTGACTTTTGAGCGACGTCATTGCACATGAGTGTGTAATGTGTAATGTGCAAACAGGCAAGACGCTGCAAGTGGAACATCCGTGTCCCGTCTCGACAGTGCAGCTTAGGGACCGCACATCACCGTGTAAATGTAAATTGCAGTGTCATGCTGATCAATCCTGCAGGCTGCTGAGAGAGGGTTCTGTCGAGACCAGTCAGCAGCATCTCAGCTGCTCTGGATGCCGCTGTTTTCCTCTTCGGGAGACTTGTTCCCTCCAGCAAGCTAGCTTTGCTTATTCCACGTTGCTTTTATTTGCTCCTATTTGACCAACAAATTCAATACGTATTTGTAAATCGACATATTTTCAGAGCTTGTTTGCATTTGAAAATGAACTAACATTAGTTAAACTTACTCCTTTCTGTTCTGTTTTTTACAGGATGCAGCTTGAATAGAAGAAAACCTGCGGGGCTGGAGGGACACCGTGGACGGCTGGTCTTTACGAAGCCGGGTGGAGGGACAAGGCATCAATCAAAATACTGTCTTTGGAGTGTGCTAGCAATGCTTTAGCACACAGGAAAGGCTGGCTGATCACTAGAGAACCCCTCCTTGCTTTTTTTTATAAAGTCACCTGAGCGATAAACGCTGACCTTTACGATCCTTGCGAAGATGCCAGCGCCGAGGTCAGTGCTGTGGCATTTTTGGTGACGGGGGACAAAGCGTGCGGGCGCGTTCAGGCAAGGCCGCAGGATTGGTGGGTGGACAGACACGCCACAAGGCAGTTTTGGTGGGTGTGGTTGAAGCATGCGGCCCTGGGCAGGTTCATGGCGTTGGATTACCCTGGTGCTGTTGGCCTGGGGCACACTCCTCTTCTACATCGGCGGCCACTTGGTGAGGGACAGCGAGCACCCAGAGCGGTCCAGCAGGGAGCTCTCCAAGATCCTGGCCAAGTTGGAGCGACTGAAGCAGCAAAATGAAGATCTGCGGCGCATGGCCGAGTCTCTCAGGTAACGAGCTGGCCGTTTCACAAAACACGCTGCTTGTGTGCCTTCGCCTCTTTGCAAATTATATCTATAATTTATTAGCTTAAGCTAAGCTAAGTTGTAGATATACTTCGAAAAGTTCTATGTAGATATAAGGACTCAACCAGAAGTTTATTTATTTATAGGACTGTCTCTGTTATGATTATTTTTTCGTTCCAGAGTTTTCTACAGACCACACAGAAAGATGCAAAACAAATTTATAAAATTTTGATGTTGTGACTTAAAGTGCCTGTGACATCATATTTTTGTAATACATATGGATGCATTTTCGGAAAGATAATATTGCTAACATGATTATAAAAACAAATTATGCTGCTGAGATGAACGATTGTTGAGATATTCACATTTGAAGAAGCAGGAAGTGATGTCAGAGGGAAATGTTTGAATATGAGCAGAGCGTACAGTGGCAGACAACACAGACCACAGAGAAGAATCTGATGTTTCTTTAGATTATTTTGAGTCTTTATGAGAGAGAATTTAAATAAGATTGTTTCAATAACAAAAACCAGGAAGTTTGTTTTCTTAAAGAGGTCCCCTTTGATGTCACTTCCTGTTTCACTTTGTCTGAGCCAAATTCAAAAGAAAATATGCAGTTCTGTGACAAACTGGGACAATAGCAAGTTTATTAAAAATGAAAACGTTTTCTTTAACTTTTTGTATTTGAATGATATGAATGCTTTAAGTTTTTCAATACGAGTTCATTTTAGATGAATTGTTCAAAATTGCGTAGCTAACTATACTTTTATAGCTATGTCTCTCAAACTGTGGTACAAGTACCTCTATTGGTACTCGGTATTCTTCTGGTTCTCACAAGTATTTTTGAACTCAATTTTTACAGACTAAATAATAACCATCACAAGCTGAACTGTGATGGAAATAAAAAAAGATGAGTGGTTCAAGAAAAATACAATTTTGGTTTCAAACAGAAAATATTCAAAGTGAAGTGGGTGACAGTAAACCAATGTGCTGTTCGCTACTTCAGCAGCAGCAGAGAAATTTCTTTAGGATAACAAAAGCACTGAACCGTCAAGACTTGCAGACATGGTAAAAAATAGTTACTTATAAAGTTTCTATTGTTACGCAATTTGTTGCTTTGTCACCATTTTAGGTGATGTTATATTTCTCACAGGACACTCCAAATTTTAAGCACCTCTAATTCTCCTTCTGGTTTATTTGATTTGATTCTAAAAAAAAGGATTTTGTGGCATTTTTTTTGTTTAAGCATGACATCCAGTAAAACTTGTACCTCTTTGATAAAAAGTAATTAAAAGAATAATATAAATGCTAGGATGCAGCAGTGAGACGTGGTGCTTTCTTTGGATCGTGGTCTTTTATCAAAAGACCGTTTCCCGGTTTGAAAAGCTGATCAGTGGTGTTAGAAATGCTAAGTGTGACAGATAGATGACGTGTCACACACCTCACCAGACTCCCGTTATTTCTGAAGACAATAGCACATTGTGCAAGTCCATTAACCACACAGCATCTTTCACACGCGCAAGCTCTTCGTAACAGTAAGACAGATGGTTCCTCTCTTATGTCCACATGCTGACAGTGTTTTTCTTCACACTCAAACTCTAGATCTGTGTGTGTGTGTGTGTGTGTGTGTGTGTGTGTGTGTGTGTGTTCGTCTGCAGAGGATATGCTAGTGTGTGTTTTTTAATGTGCTTCTGTGTCATATTAAAGGAGCGCTTTGGCATTGGTACCCTTCTGTGATATTCTGATTGGCTTTGATGTGGGGTGCTCATCAACGCACACAAACATACAAAAACACACATGCGTCTCTTCAGACAGCTGGTCCCTGATTCAATCCCTTGCTTTTGTAATTATTCAGAATTGGCTCGAAAACAAAGGTAGAATTCACGGGATAAAAGGGAGGAAAAAAACAAGTGCAGCTTTCAGTCGATGTTCTGTCGAGGTCCAGATGGGTCCTTGACACACTGCATGCTTGTTGCTTGTTATTGAGTCCGGTTGTTGATCTGGGACCGAGGCCTGCACAGTTTACCGTGGCAGCGCCTTCTCAAGTCCCTTTATGCTTCAGCTAAAGATCCAGTACAGGAAGCTAAAAGGAGGTGACCGTGTTGCTGAGGTTAAGCTTTATGAGCTAACAACAGCAGCAGGGACTATTTTTCCTACGCTTGTGTGTAAAATGTTCAGATATAGACCCAGAGAAGAGCTTGATAGCACCTCATCTCTTATCTTTACAATAAAACCCCGGGATCTGCAACCTGCAGCTCTGGAGCCACATGTGGCTCTTCTGCCCTTTTTTTATTTTTTTATTTGTTGTTGTTGTTGTTGTTATTGTTGTTGCTCCTCTTAACATTGACCAAAACTGACACGAACCTGAGCAACGTGAGTGCACTGTTTCCCTTATTGGCTTTAACCTACAGAACATGAAAAAATCTACAATTAAACTTTCATTAGTTGGAACATACAGTATATGTATCTTACTTAAATAACTTAAATAACTAATATATTTAGTTTAGTTTATTAATTTTATTCTTTTCATTTAAAAACAAAAACAAAAAAATAACATTTTTTTAAACACAACAAAAAATATCCAAATCCAAACTGAAATGAAAGGAGGCAGAGAGAAGAAAAAAATCTTTTTTATGTAACATATGTAGTAATAAATCAATTTTATATCGCTGCAATGTTAATTGTGGTGAAGCCAGTTAAATGTAATAATGGCCTGCCGTACAAGGAGCTTCCTCATGATGCTGAAATGGTCTGCTGCGCTCCCAGAGCAGAAGCTGTTAAAACTAGCAAGATGGACTGAAGAGCAGGTGAACGTCCACATCTTCTTTTCACTATGCAGTTGACAAAAAATATATATATATATATACTGTATATTCTGACTGGTTGAAATAAAACAAACTACTTTTGTTTATTTGCTCAGTGTGATGCAGGATGTAGTTTCTGCCTCACTCCCTACAGCAGGAGGGAGCTGGAGAGGAAGAGAGAAATTATGAGGAATTATCCTTCGTGGCACCGTATTTCTGTTATATACATGAAAATACTGAAACTCATTGTGGTAGTACCTAAACCTCCTGAATGTATATCAAAAATAAATTTGGCTTTGAGAAGCTGGTGGCAAGCTGTCTGTCATCCCATTCTTAGCCCATTGCTTCTCTCCACTGAACCCTTCTTCTCCATTTATCCTTTTACTCTTCCTCCACCATCGGTGCCATGTCAGCTTCCGGTTAAATTGTCTCAGGATGACTGACTGTAACAAGTCGCTAGCTCGCTGATCGACCATTTCAGCACACATCTAACCTAATTCACCAGCGTACGAGTTGTGCTGATTTGGATTGAGAACATGAATTTCTGCAAGAGCAAAATTAGTTCTTTGGAATCGCTTTGCTGACATCAAATGTATCAAGAAGAATTCATTCAAAGTACCCAACTGTCGCGTTAGTGCATTTATTTTTTTATAAATGGCCTCTGAGAGATTTAAACCCATAAAACAGGCATTAAGTTGTATTACATTGGGTTCTCGCTTCGCCAAAAACTCATTGCATTCAGACTGATTTACAGAGCAAAGTGGAGTTTAACTTGGTTATCGTCATTACACCACAGCAGATAAATGTGTTATGAGTTATCAGGCGGCGTGGTGCGTTCATTATATGATTGACAGGGTCTCGTGTAGATTATCTAATTTGCTTTGTGACAGTAAGTTTGCACAAGATATCGATCTTGTTGAGCAGATGTTTGCAGAATCACTTGCGAGATGGAAATATTTATTTGTTCAGCTACGTCCATAGAGTTCACCCTCACCTTTTTTTATTATTTTGTATTTTATTATTATTATTATTTATTGTTGTTGTTATGGGGGAATATTCCAGGCACGTAGTTCAATTCTATACCACAATCATGTAACTATGTTATGTGCAGTTGTTGTGAAAATGCTGTATGTATTAAAAATAAATTTGGCTTTGTATCATAGCCTTTCTAAGCACCTTGAAATTGGCCTCTGTCTCTTAAAGTAGAGATTCTTAACCTGTGGCCTACAGCGCCACCTTGAGGGCCTCAAAAGAACAACAGTTTTTAACTTTGGGCCACAGAGGGACGTGGGACCGCACTGATTTTGAATAAGGTGCAACGCACTTTCTTACCACTAGCAGCGATAGTGCGCCACTCAGTTGTTTAACAGTTTTTTTAATACGTAGAAAAAGAACCTTAGAAACCTGCCGAGAGTGGAAACTTATTTTAAATGAAAAGCAGAAGCAAAATGAAGGTAACTCATCAAAAAACACCAAAGTTTGTCACTAATATGAAGAGCAGCTTCTGTTTTTACCATGTAATATTTTAAAAGATCAAAACATCAAATACAGCTGCAGATACAACTATATTTTAATTTGCACTTTAAATTAATTTTTGTAGTTTATTTTTAAACATTTTGAATGTATTTTAAAGAAATTTTAAACTTGTCAAAAAACTGTTGTTACTGTTATTGTTTGTCACTAATATGAAGAGCAGCTTCTGGTTGCAAAAGTTTAAAAAGGCTATATTTTCATTTGTACTTTATCAAATTTATTTTTACAGGTTTTTTTATTTGAAACATTTACATTAAACATTTTTAAAATATTTATTTTATGCCCACAATTTTATTTTTTGAATTGTGTATTTTTGTTATTGTTTATATTAAATATATATATATATATATTTTTTTGTGTTGATAAGCCTGAGTGGTCTGTTGACTGACGTTTTTATTTGTTCAAATAATTGTTATGGGCAGGTTACAATATAAAAATGTTTGTCATAATTGTGTCTTGTGATTATTTGACAGGAGTTTTACTTTTAAACTGTAAGTGTATTTAATTTAGTTATGATAGTTTAGTTATAATGCAAATACAGTAAAAATTAAACCAAGATTTAAAATAATTATTATTTTGATCCGAACATTGGTAATGTCTGAATGGGCCTCGTGTCACTTTATGTTCAACAAATTGGGCCCTGTCTTAAAG